GGCATCGGCCGCAATGAAGAAAAAAAAAAAAAAAAAGCACAGATACAGGTGCCGAAAAAAGCCCACCCCTCGACGCCGCTGTGTGCCCGCTGCTGCCACCGGCCACCGCTCAGTAGTTCTCAGCTTTACCTGAGAAACCATGGAACGATCCCGACGCTGGGCATAAAGATGCCCTTGGAGGACTGGAGCGATGTCACTTCCGGTTCCGGCCAAATTTTTTCTGTTTTTGATCCAATGCTTTACATTACAGAGGAAAGATGTGGGGTCTTCTTGACCCCATATCTCTCCATAAAGAGGACCTGTCACTAATTATTTATATCACAAGGGAAGCATGTATTTCTTGCGATAAGAATAAAAGCGATTAAAATTTTTTTTAAAAAAGAGACAAAAACACACCCAAAAAAAAACATTAAATAAATAATAAAAAAAAAGTTTAAAGTGCCCCAATCCTTGCACGTAGTGGTGAACACATACGTAGGCCATGCCCACATATATGAATGGTGTTCAAACCACACACGTGAGGTATTGCCACAAATGTCGGAGCAAGAGCAATAATTCTCGCACTAGACCTCCTCTGTAACATTACACTGCTAACCTGACCTGTAGAAATTTTTAACGCATCACCCATGGAGATTAAGTATCAAAGTTTCACGTCATTCCACGAGTGTGTGCAATTTTAAAGCGTGATATGTTGGGTATCTATTTACTCATCGTAACATACTCTTTCATATTTTACAAAAGAATTGGGGAATATATTGGGGGGTTTTTTTTAATCAAAGTGTATTTTTTTTCCAAAAAATATTAATTTTTAAAAACTGCACATTTCGATTTTCGGCCAAGAGCATTTTGAATTTTTGGTTTCGGTTTCAGCACCATAATTTTCATTTCGGTACACCACTAATTCTAACACATGAATATGCTTTGATCTAAAGCATACCTTTGTAGCTCTGGCTGTAAGTTTAGGGTTGTTGTCCTGCTGGAAGGTGAACCTCTGTCCCAGTCTCAGGTTTTTTGCAGACTCTAAGGCTACTTTCACACTGACTCGCCTCAAAAACTCATGGGCGTTTTTACCGTATTTTTTAAAGGATACGTGACTTAAAACTGCCCCAAAAACTCTTCTCAGAGGAGTTTTTGAGGCGTTTTCCTTTGATTTCAATGGGAAGAGGAGTTTTTTTTTTCCTTACTCCCCAAACATGCCCCAAAGAAGCTGCAAGTTTTTACACCGCATCGCAACACCTCAGTGTGAAAACATTCATAGATATACATTCACATACATAAGGAAGCAGTTTTTTTTGACCTTTTCAGTCGCTTTTTTTTTTTTTTTTTTATGCAAAAACGCTAGAAAAACTCCTCAGTGTGAAAGTAGCATTACAGGTTTTCTTCTAAGATTGCCTTGTATTTGGCTCCATCCATCTTCATATCAACTCTGACCAGCTTCTCTGTCCCTGCTGAAGAAATGCATCCCCACAATATGATGTTGCCACTACCATGTTTCACGGTGGGGATGGTGTGTTCAGGGTGATGTGCAATGTTCGTTTTCTGCCACACATAGTGTTTTGCTTTTAGGCCAAAAAGTTCAATTTTGGTCTCATCTGACTAGAAAACCTTCTTCCCCATGTTTGCGGTGTCCTCCACATGGCTTCTCGCAAACTGCAAACGGGACTTCCTTTGGCTTTCTAATAGTTGTCCTGTGGACAGATTCTTCCACCTGAGCTGTGGATCTCTGCAGCTCCACCAGAGTTACCATGGGCCTCTTGGCTGCTTATCCTTGCCCGGCCTATCAGTTTAGGTTGACAGCCATGTCTTGGTAGGTTTGCAGTTGTGCCATACTCTTTCCATTTTTGGATGATGGACTGAACAGTGCTCTGTGAGATGTTCAAAGCTTTGGTTTTCTTTTTTTACCTAACCCTGCATTAAACATCCCCACAACTTTATCCCTGATCTGTCTGGTGTGTTCCTTGGCCTTCATGATGCTGTTTGTTCACTAATGTTCTCTAACAAAAGTCTTCAGTGAACAGCTGTATTTATACTGAGATTAAATTACACACAGGTGGACTCTATTTACTAATTAGGTGACTTCTGAAGGCAATGGGCTCCACTAGATTTTAGTTAGGAGCATAAAAGCAAAGGGGGCTTAATACAAATGCACGCCACACTTTTCACATATTTGTAAAAAAAAAAAAAAAAGGTTGGAAACCATTTACCATTTTCCTTCCACTTAAGTATGTGCCACTTTGTGTTGGTCTGTCACAGTGGTCTCCAAACTGTGGCCCGACAACTGACACCACTTATGGGACACCATTCTTCCCACTGACAGCACTGATGGCACTATTCTTCCCACTGACACCAACCATGGGGCCTTATTCCTCTAAATAAAACCGATGATGTGGCATTATTTATGTCCACTGATGCTTGGGCATTTTCTACTCCCATTGGCCAGAGTCTAACCCCCCAACCATAAACTGGCTGGTGTGGAAGATGGCTACCTAGTCTCGAGCTCCACCCACACTTGAGCCTTACAGTGGAACCTCAGCAACTTATTACCCCCTTCGAGGCCGCCGCATCTCTGCTTCATTACTCCTAGTGCCACAAGCCAGATAAACAGTCACAGAGCCTTACAAAGTTCTTCTCAGTGGACGCAAACTCAATGCAGCCATAATGGTGGATCCCTGCTTCTCTACTCCCCAGCAGACTGACAGTCCTAGAGCCAGAAGGGAGGATTCACCCCCTGCCTAATCCTATAAACTCTGTAAATCTATTAATCTATTCACAACTGCAATCTTTAATCACAGATTTCCCTGCTGGTGACCAACCCATATCTGAGCTAACAAAAAAACATGCTGGTCTCCCTAAGACAGACTCCATTCTGAATTCTCAGCTGTATTTTCCTCCCTCTCTTACTTTACAGGGACATGATCGGAGGATACAATACGTTGAAGCCAAAATGGGGAAACTATATTCAGCACACAACTAACTACCTTGTTGAAGAGCTTGAGATCGATATTCAACACTGAAAGCTCAAAATAGTGGCTATTGAGCCTTGCTCCTGGCGAAACATAAAAATCAGGGGCATTCATAAATCTGTTTCCTGCTTGGACCTCACTCCTTTTAACCAAAAATTGGTAAAACCTTTCATACCATGTGGACCTGTGGACAGAGTCCACAGAACTCCTAAACCAAAATATATGCCTGACTTGACCCCTTGGGATATCCTAGCACGCATCTATTTTTTCCGCATGAAAGAAAGAATTATAGCAGCTGCCAAAAACAACTCAACCTTGCCTGAAACGGTATCTCATAGGTATCTCACGCTATGCGGACTTAACCCAAATAATGATCCTAAACAGGAGGAGAAGGCTTGCACCACTTACTAAGACCCTACTCACTCAATGTCAGCTACAAGTGGGAATAATATACAAAACCTAGTCACCTGGAAAGGACAATATTACCCTATTCTTAGTCCTGAGGCAGGCTTACGACTACTTACGACTACTAATGAAAAATTCTCCCCAGTGATGTCCATTGACGGGCACCATTGCCACCAAGACATCTGGAACTCATACAAAGCATATATGAGGGGCACATTAATAAAAATTAGTTCCTATGTAAAGAGACAGACAAGATACTAAATACAATTAGACTCAAAGAACAACAAAATAAAGAATCCTACAACCTCACTGTCCTCCTCCCTGTCAGAACACAGACAGAAGCTACGAAACCTATTACAGAAAATCTCATCCATCTACCACCTGACTACCAAGTGGGTCCTTGGTAATGCACAAAACATTGCTAATGACTTCATGAACTTATAATCAATCATTTTACAACCTATATAAAAATCTATCTATTACTCACCCATCTACATCCCCCAACAGAAGCCATTAAGAGATACCGACCTTCTGTCACTATCTCCTGAACAGCTCAAACCTTTATCCCATCCATTTACAATCCAGGAGATCCAACCCATTATCAAGTCTCTTCCCCAACAATAAATCCCCCCCCCCCCCCCCCCCTTCCCAACTAGTACCCATCTACAACCTGGATGCTTCCTCTGGCTCTGTTCCTAAAGAATCTATTGTAACAATTGCTTACCCTGGAGAGGATCCAGCTTTTACCAATAATTACAGACTTATTTCTTTGCTCAATACATACATCAAGATTTTTGCAACAGCCCTGGCTCATAGATTGTCACCTTTCCTCCCTAAACTGATCTGCCCTGACCTGGTGGGCTTAATGCCAGGGTGACAAGTCCCTTACAGGACCTGTTGCCTAACCACTTTTTAACACACTGAGCTCCCTAAAGCGCTTTCTTTGCTCCTTTCTCTGGATGCAGAGGAGTTTGATAAGAGTTCATTTGGACTTAAAGGCAATCCTTCAAAAATTCAGAATAACCAGATGGCTACATTCTGCTATTATATTTCTCCCTGACAGCCAAAGTCTTCATGTCAGAAACCCCATCCAACCTCTAATCCTAACCCCAACCCCTAAACCTAACAAATACATAAGCAAATAAAATTTATAATACATAAAAATAAATTAACCTCTAACCCCCTAACAAAAAGAAAGAAATAACAGATGAAAAAAAAAGCTGAAAAGCGTAGTAACAAATGATGAAACAGATATTTTTCTCTACTGGCTAAAAGAAAAAAAATCGTCAACGCTAAAAATGCTTTACAAACAATGTACAAAAACATGCATAAAACAAGCAACAAAAAGTCCGGAGAAAAAAAAAACCCCAATGCAGCCTTAGATTTACCAAAACTAACATGAAAACCTACCTCAACATACATTTAATTTGTATCCAATCAGGCAGGCCCTATAGATCTAAAAAGGCGATTGTAACAACATTATTAATAATACATTAACAATAATTGTAAGAATGTGTGGTTATCTTTAAATCGGTAACTAGTGGTTTATTCAGCATCCATTCATGATTGAAGTACTTTGTATTCACTGAACCTTTAATTTCCTTGAATCTTCAGCATGCTATATACTATATATGGTTTACCTAAATCTCTGAGCTTGATGATGAACTGGTCCTCCAAATCGCCGTGCTGGAGAGTGACAGAGCTGGGAGAGTAGTGCCATGTTCTTGTTCTGGTTTGGATTAGCAGCAAACTTCACTGTTATGGGTTCCGATGCACCTGGTGGTTTGTGGCCGTTGAAGCTTGCAATTGCCTCTTCTGCTTCTGATCGTTTGTCAAACCTTATAAATGCAACTCCACGAGATAAACCTTCAGATAAAAAATATTAAAAGATTACATGAGACTTTGATCAGTTTAAAAAGACCAATCTCTGAAATGTAACGCTTGAAAACATTTCTGTGTACATATTTTAAGGTTTAGTGAATGCTGGCTCACACCCTGTAAAGCTTAAGCTGGTAATAAACTTGTTTATTTTTACCTACAGGTAAGGTCATAATAAAGCTTACCTGTAAGTGAAATTAATTTCTCCTAAACGTGCACCAGTCAGTTTTGTTATATTGTAGCCTATACCAGGGCTTGAAAAAGCCGCTCGCCCAATGCGTGGAGAAATTCCTCTGTGGCAAATGGCTGCGAGCACAAATGAAGAGGCATGGAGCGACTGCGCATGCGCTCCAAGCCTCATTGTGAAGCAGAGTTCCGGTTAACTTCCGGTTTCCGCGGTATCGCCATTACAGTGCGAGCGCCGCTGAGGGGACACGAGCAGGATAGGTCCGCTCGCCTATGCCGAGAGGAGACGCCGCTCTCCACCGCCTTGGGGGACACCAGGCCCGCTCCACACCGCCTTGGGGGACACCAGGCCCGCTCCACACCGCCTTGGGGGACACCAGGCCCGCTCCACACCGCCTTGGGGGACACCAGGCCCGCTCCACACCGCCTTGGGGGACACCAGGCCCGCTCCACACCGCCTTGGGGGACACCAGGCCCGCTCCACACCGCCTTGGGGGACACCAGGCCCGCTCCACACCGCCTTGGGGGACACCAGGCCTGCTCCACACCGCCTTGAAAGGCAGCCCAGCCAGCAGACACACCGATCCACCAGAGGAGCCTTTAATCTGCACTGCCGTGTTTGAGCTGAACTGCCGTGTTTGAGCTGAACTGCCGTGTTTGAGCTGAACTGCCACTCAGATGACCTGCTGTTAATCTGCCTTCAAGCAGAGCAGCCTTTTAAGCAGGCCATCAATCAGACCAGCCAGCAGACCAAACTTTAATCAGTCCATCAATCAAGCCAGCCGCAGACCAGCATTTAATAAGCTCAGCCAGCAGAAAGGCCTATAGGCAGCCAAGACCAGCCTCGACAGTGGTAATAGCATGATCACGTCATGGAGGATCTTCCTCAGCCTGAGTCATCTGTGGCAGCCCATACGTAATACATAAAAGTGGTCCTAATTTCCAGTATTCAACCCATATCTCATGCCTGTGAGTTTTTCCTAATTTTTTTTTTTTGGTCTCCTTGTTTACACTGCAACATGAAACAGAGCAAATTATTTTTTTTTTGCAGCAAAAGATTATCCTACTATTGTGGAGTCCCACTCAAACCCTATCGAAATAGAGAATGAATCAATAGCTAATTCAGTTGCTAGTTGTAGTTTGCCACAAACTTCCACTGCCATAATAACTAAAGACAAATGGTGATGCTGGAAGGACTGTGAAAAAATGCTGTTTTAGTACAAATTCGCTAGATCACTTTTCATGGCTTGCTTACTCCAAGGAAAATGATAGTTACATGTAAAGTTTGCAGTCGGTTCCCCCAAATTTCAGATGAAAAATGGGTAAATAGTGTAAAAGCTCCATTTAAAAGGGAAACGTTTGTATGGCATGACACATGTAATAAACACAAAGAGAATATTGATAAGGCAAAGGCTAGAGACAACCCTGAAGAAAGACCTTCAGCTATATGTATCAGAAAAATGGACGCAGCAATGTTTCAGCACATGACACACACGTTCAACATTGCTTTTTACGTAGCTAAATGTGAAAAGCCATTTCTAGATTTCCCTGATTTAGTAACATTGAGTGCCAAACTAGATGTGCCAGTTCTGCAGAAATATGGAAGTAATGTTCAATGTAAACAATTCATTAATTTCACTGCAAGAATAATCAGAGAAAGTCTTGTGGCAAATATTAAAAAGTCACCTTTTGTTGGCATCATGATTGACTGATCCACAGATCGAACCTACACTGAACATGCAAACATTTATGCCCATTATGTTTTAGAAGGAGACGTCAAAGAAGATTTTTTGGGTACATTTGCACTAGAAAATGCTACATCCAAAGGTTATTTCAAAGGATTGACTGCCTTTATGGATAATTTGCATCTTAATTACAGAGGCTCTTCATGGGTTGCAGGCTTGGGAACGGATGGAGCTGCAAGCATGCTTGGCCACAAGTCAGGTTTAGCAGTCCAGATGAAAGAAGTCTGCCCACAGATGATCAGCATACATTGTGTGGCTCATCGCTTGCAGCTTGCGATCTTGGATGTTTGCAAGGAAATGCCATACCTACAAACATTCGATGAGGTGGTGCGGCGTGTTTTCAAATATTATCATTGCTAAGCAAAACGCCTTATGCAACTTAAAGATCTCGCATACACTTTAAGTGAGGAAATCTTGGAAATGAAAGATGTACACACAGTGTGCTGGTTACGCAGCAAAATTGAGGCCTTGCGTGCTTTTCTGCAAAACTGGAAGACAGTTGTGAGCCATTTTGAGCAGATATCAACAAAGGGATCGTCTGAATCTGCTAAAGTTAAAGGCATTCTGTCAGGGAACGAGAAGATCGCCGGGGCGCACGAATCTGCACATGCGTAGGATACCGACAAGACATACAGGCAGGTGGGCACTAGGACCCAGGTGCACCTGTCACCAATGACGGCGCCGGGCAGGCACTAGGACCCAGGCACGCCTGTCACCAATGACGGCTCCGGGCAGGCACTAGGACCCAGGCGCACCTGTCACCAATGACGGCGTCGGGCAGGCACTAGGACCCAGGCGCGCCTTTCGGCGCCGGGCGGGCTATTTAAACCGGCTCTTGCAATGCTCACATTGCCATATGGTCTTGTTCCTGTTCTTCCTGCTCATTCTGTTCCTGAGATTGCCTTGTTGCCGACCTAGCCTGATCCTGATTGCTGTTGACCGTCTCGCGCCCTGACCCCTGGCTCGTCTTGACTATTCTTCTGCCTGTTCCTGATTATCTGACCTCCTGCTGCTGAACCTGGCCTGTGACCCAATTACTCTTAGCCTGCTGCTTTGTACCGTTCTGCCACCGCTGTTACCAACCCGGCCTGCCTGCCTGACTTCGCTGTCTCTACACGGTGTCACCTGTCCATCCGCTACTGCCCAGGCCTGCTCCGCCTCTTCACAGCAGGCTCTTATCTGCTATGTGCCACTGGAATTCACCTCTACCGCAGCTGGGTGTACTCGGGGGCCGCGACCTGGTCTCAGCCTGCTCCAAGTCCATCCCCACCATCAGGGGCCCTGGTGAATAAGCAGACTGAGGCTTAGACACCGCGCCCTGGGGAATCCAGGCCTGTGGATCTCTAGAGCCACCGCCAGTCGGTACCTGACACATCCTGAAAGACCTGAAACAGCTGAAGTTTGTGAAACTTTTGCATTTCCTATTCAATTTTTATAGCAAGCTGCAACCTTTGTCAGAGGGTCTTCAGAACAAGGAATTTATGATCGGTCAGGTAAAAAACAAACTAGAACATGCAGTTGAAACTCTTCAGGATCTTTCGGATGGGAAGGGAAAAAACAAACTTGAATTTCTTAGTAAGTTTACAGAAGAAGGAAAACTACATGGGCTGCAGCTGACCAACCTTCAAGCTGGTGACAGAGAATTTCAGTCGATACGCCAATCTGTATTAGCCAAAGCAGAAAGATATTTAATTTTGAGGCTTTCCTCATTCTCCTCAGATATTGTACAATCTTTCAATATATTTACCAGCATGTCTTGGCCAGACAAAACACACATCCTCAACTTTGGATTGACTGAGTTGCACAGAATTGCAAAACAGGTTTTTGATCAGTTTGAAGACAAAATTGACCTGTTTGAAGCAGAGTGGGCTGACCTAAAATTCTCCATTCAAAATGGACTCTCTTTTAATGAGACTCTGAAAAGATTGAATCAGCAGCAAGAAAGATTCAGCAACATACTCCCTCTGGTCAATTTCTGTGAAGTACTTCCACCAACAACCGCCTCATGTGAACGTGGCTTTAGCTACCAAAACAGAATAAAAAGACAGTCTATCGTTCATCACTTAGCAGACAGCAGAGTGACAAGCCACTCTGCCCAGTTACTCTGCCCACTCCAGTTGTAGACTACTGGTGGAGGCAAGAACACTTCACACAATTTCCCCAGAAATTGTAGCTTTTCACCACAAAAACGGCAATATTTCGTGAACCATTCGGCGAAACGTTCCACAAAATATTAGCACACCAATCGGGAACAATCCGCACGTTTCTGTACATTACTGTCTATGTAGTATAAAAACTGTGGGAGGAGTTAGGGTGGTAAATTTGGCTATAATAATAATAATATATATGTGAGATAACAGTAAGTGGTCTTGCCATGCAAGAACACTTAAGAACTAGAAAAGCTACAATTTCTGGGGAAATTGTGTGAAGTGTTCTTGCCTCCACCAGTAGTCTACAACTCACACTCTAGCTTTTGTCACTCTGCTGCCTGCTCACACACCTAGGTTCCTATGGCAACTCTACAGCAAGGGCAGAAAAGAGCGGTTAAAAAACAAACTGCTCCAACTTGCTCACTTCACTGGTGGTTGCCATCTTCAAACGGTTGTAGTTTAAAAATTATAAATCCTACACCGAAGAGATTTATATTGTGAGAATCACAAGACCCAGACCTACATTTTGATGCATAGTATGTCTCTGAAATATTACAAATGAAGGCACAGTCGCAGTTTAGAAATTGCCCTTCAAATTTGAGAAGGCTAGAGTGGATTTTCAATGAATGTCAATGGGCGGCGTGAGTTGCAAACAAATGGTCAAATTGTGAAAACTATCAGGACTATGGCTTAGCCGTGGACATTTTTAGTGGCAGCAGGGATAGCTGAATGTTTTGATATAAGATTTGTGTAGGTGGCCTTGAAAATGAGGGAGTGATGGCAGTTTAGAAATCATGTCCTGATTTTTCAGCTCACACTCTAGCTTTTGTCAGCTCCCACTCTAGTTTTGAACATTCCGCCATTCATTCCTATGGGACCAATTTCACCACAACAAAACGCCGATATT